ATAGGACCAGCTGCTTGGGCCGATACTCTTATGACTCTTGGCATTCCGACTGCATCTGAGGACGGGGGAATCGCAGGTATGCATGAGATCTTCTTGTCCCGGTTCTCCTTATTTGTCCAAATTTTCATTTGGCTAATATAAGAGTGTAACTATAGGACCGGCCGTTGGGCCTGATACTACTACAGTTTCCGGGGCTGAAGGTCTGCATAGAAGTGGCGTCTCCCCGCCCTTGCCGAGTGGTATGAGCAATCTGCCTGCAGGGGTTGATATACCCTCCATGACCACTTCTGCCGCTGTCTCAGAGCCTGTCGGACCTCAGCCTGAGGGGACCTCCGTTGGCGTTGGTATGCTCAGAGTTTGCCTTTGAATTTCCTTATCGTATTCGATAATCTACTGAACTTCTATGTTGTTGCTTGTAGGATCTCGATCCTCTCTATATGAGCGTGTCCGCGCCCTTTTGGTCGATACTGATCCTGACAGAGATATTTTTCGTACGGACCTCGGCTTCTTCACTGCCTTTTATAACGGCATGATCGAGAAACTTCTTCATAGAGGATACGGTTTCGATCAGTTCAGGCGTTCCTTTTCTCGCCACATGATGATGATGAGGGAAGAAGGATACCCGGAATTGGCCGATTCCTTCACCGCCGATTTCGCTGTCCTGGAGTCAGAGATCCGAGAGTTGAAGGAATTGGAGATTAATGGGGCTTCTTCTTTCGTGTCCTCTCAGCTGGAGCATAGGCTGGCACAGTGGCGTGACCTGAGATCTTCCATCGGATGCGAGCTTCAGTCACATGAGAGCTCCATTGCGCAGCTAATGGCTAATGTGGCGAGGAAAGATACGGATAGAGCTGAGTTACTCCGCTCTTTGGACTCGAGCCGCGAGGAAGTGACTAGGTTGAAAGAGGCCTTGAAGTGCGTCGAGGAATCTGCTGCTCTTATTGCAGATGACCTGGCTAGACTAGAGCGTTCTCGTGAGCAGGCACTCGAGAAGCTAGGATCCACCCAGGAGAGACTGATGAAGCTGAAGAGTGAAGCCGCGGAGATTTTAAGCAGTTCTGAAGAATCTGCTCGAGCTGATCTGCAGGCAGAACTCGAGCGGAGTTATGTAGATAGACTTTTTAGTTTAAAGTCTCATATCCTCGACCGCCAACTGCCTTCGGGCTAACGAGCTTTTTATTGTATGCTTTTGACTCGATCTATTAATAGAGACTCCGCATTTGCTTCTTTTGTGATCTTTCTGTATTTATTCTGAATGACAAGGTTTATGGGATTTTTGGCAAACCCCCAGCCATCAACGGGTTTGAAATGTCTTTACCGATTACCGTTTGAAATCGGACTAGCATGTGAATTATTAAACCCGTCTCACATGTAACGTTGTGCTAAGAAAATCACTTTTCTTAGACTTGATGCTATGATTTTGAATACATAGACTTAACCATTTCTTATAGGGAAAAGGCACCCTGCACCGCGTATTAGGCGATGACTTACCGTTCCACATGTAACGTTGTGCTAAGAGAATTGCTTTTCTTAGGCTTGATGCTATGATTTTGAATACATAGACTTAACCATTTCTTATAGGGAAAAGGCACCCTGCACCGCGTATTAGGCGATGACTTATCCCTTCTTAGGCTTCGGGATAAAATTCCCCAGGTTTAGACCCTGGTGTCTTTTTCAATCGGCGAAAGATTAAACCGACCATGTGTGTTAGACATAGACTTTGGGATTTTTGGCAAACCCCCAGCCTTCAACGGGTTTGATGTGCCTTTACCGATCACCGTTTGAATCGGGCTAGCATGCGGATTGTCTAAATCCGTTCCGCATGTAACGTTGTGCTGAGAGAGTGAATTCTCTAAGACTTTGTGCTATGATTTCGAATACATAGGCTTTGCCCTTGTTACAGGAATAGGCTACCCGGCAACACGTGTTAGGTGTTGACTCATCCCTACTTAGGCTTCAGGATAAAATTCCCCAAGTTTAGACCTTGGTGTCTTTTTCTTTAATCGGTGAAAGACTAAACCGACAACGCGTGTTAGGCGTTGACTTATCCCTACTTAGGTTTCGGGATAAAATTCCCCAGACTCGGATTCTGGTGTCTTCTTCAATCGGTAAAAGACTAAACCAGCAACGCGTGTTAGGCATTGACTTATCCCTACTTAGGCTTCGGGATAAAATTCCCCGTGCACCAAGTGCCCGGATTGGAAGTTGAGGAATCTTTACTCTCATTTGGACCAGAGAAAAATAAAGTTTTTGTTACCCTCAAATTTGGAGTGTAACTATAGTGAAGGGAAGGTAAGAGAACTTTCAATAGAAAACAATCGTGGAGAAACCATTTTACCTTCTATCTAACTTTTAATAATAAAATGAGTTAATAACATGCAAGGTTCTTTATGTAAGTTTACATATATTCCCTTTTCCTCCCTTCACTTTATTAAACTCCACAAACGAGGTGGAATAAGTTCTCATTGATTTCTATTACTAATTTCACAAACAAGTTTTACATGTTCCCTTACCTTCATATGTTCTCATGACTTCCCTTCACTATGTGCAAATCTAAATAAGCCCTTAAGTGCTAAATCGTCCCTCAAATTTCAACATGTGTTTTTAAGTCCCTCAAAATTGAAATTATCTTGCAAATTTGTCCCTCGTCTAGAGATTCTATTAATTTTCCCAACATCTAAAATTACCCAGATGTCCCTGAGTTTTTCACATGAGATTTTTTTTGACTCTAGTTGGGAATATAATCGTTGGAAAGAGCATTGGGTTGGGTTTGGGGAAGCTTCTAATCATTAGAGAGGACGTTAGTGCATTTTGGTTCTAGTTGGAACAAGTTGCTAGTATAAACCCATTATAAAAATGGGTTGGTAAGGTTTTAAATGGTGGGCTCAATTATGAGTGCGGGTAGTAACAGAAAAAACCTTCTAATTACGTTAAAGTTGGTAGAAGTTCACTCTTATAAATAACATCACCTAACAAGAGGGAAAAAATTGCAAGAAATTTGAAGATTTGACGGATTAATAAGCAAATATTGAGGTTGACTAGACTATTTGATAACTAAAGATGATTTAAGGGACTACTATGCAATTACCCCTTACAAATACTATCTCACATCGGGAAAGAAAATTACAATTATACCTTTCCACCTTTTCTGAAGAAAAAAGAAGCCATTGTGTTAATTTTAGGGGTGAGCAAACATTCAATTCAAACGATGTTAGCAATTTTTAGCTAAATTGAACTGACCCAAAATAAAAATTCAAACCAAACGGGACTAAGCCTCACCAAACGCAAGGCAAACACCGACTACAGCTTATATATATACTAGTGTGAACACCGTGCAAAGCACGACATATTTTTTTTCCCCCGCTACAGTATTTCTGGTTTTAACTGCTACAATATTTTTTGAATTGCTACATTACCCCGCTGCTACAGTATCCCGTGTGCTACAGTAAAATTTTCCAAAAGACTACATTGCCCAGTTCCATGTTGCTGCAGTAATGTTACTGTAGCATTTACTATAGTATGAATAGTGTATATATATACACACACTAGTGGGAACACCGTGCAAAACACGACATATTTTTTTGCGCCGCTATAATAAACCAGGTTTTAACTGCTACAGTTTTTTTAATTTTTGAATTGCTACAGTGTCTTGCCTCTGCTACAGCCCCTCCCCCCGCGCTACAATGATATTTTTCAAAAACAACATCCAATCTCATACGTGCTACAATAATAATGTTATCATAAATGCTATTGTAGTATTTACTGTAGCGTGAATAGTGAATCTTGAATTCTCTCATTTGTATAGAGGAGTGTATATATATATGTGTGTGTACAAATATTTCTTGAAACTCAAGCCTCGTCTAAGGGGGTGTTTTAGTGAAATACCTGACACAATATCGTAATTTAAAGGTTTCTGTATATTTTCTATAAACTGTATTTAGTTCAAAAAAGTTTTATAGAAATATTTTCTATAAAGTATGGGAAAATATCTCATTTTATAGAAATTAACTTCCTCTCAAAATAGAAGAAAATTGGTGAGAAATTTTACAATTCCTATTAAAATAATAATATAACAAGATTTACAAGTTCCGTTAAAACCGATCAAACCGACTCGGTTCGGTGCGGTTTTAAAGTGTGATCGGTTCGGTTCGGGTTCATACAAGTTCAACCCGCATTAACCGATCCCACCGAACTCTCTTCAAACACCGTACCCATTTTATATTACCCCGGCCCGTTCCGTACTCTGCCTAACCCTCTCTTCCAAGTCTCCGCCGCCGCTCCGTCCCTCACCGCCCTCAATTTCTCCTATTGTCAGACAGAATCAATCGCTGGAGATTTCTCAGGCGAGGGAGCTTCTCGAGCGAGGAGACTCCGATGTTGGCTAAGGAAAGATGCTCGAGGTTGGGGTACTTGTCGAAGAGGCTCGTGGTTGGGGATACGATCGCGAGGCAGAAGAAGGTTTCGGCCTGATCTCGATCCTTCGTCTTCAAAAGATTTGATCTTTTATGGAATCTGAATTTGTAATTAGTGATGTGTTGTGTTGTACAGGCGACGATCGTGGCCAAGATTTATCGGGGGGATGCGAGGGAGGAGCCGTGCGAAGCTGTGGGTGACCTGAAGTTGGATTCTTTGGTTATGGGTAGCAGAGGACTCACTACACTCCAGAGGTAATTTGGATTTTTAATGGTTTCAATCATTAGCAGCAGGAAGAAAGAAAAAAAAAACAATACTTTTCGAGTATAGAATAGACCGAGCCGCACCGATCCGAACCGAACCGATTCATTTCGGTGCGGTTTCGGTTGCTGCAAATAATCGGCGCGGTTTTTGTTGCCAAAATTTTGGTCGAAAGCCGACCGGTTGCTCACCCCTTTTCTATTAAAATAATAATACAACTAACCCGTACCCTATTTCACATCCCCATCTCAATTTCCGGCGCCCATTTTTTAGTGGAAAATTTGTTAGGGTTTTTCTCAAACCCCTCGTTCTCAATCCCACCACCAGTTCTCTTCTCCCTCAAAAATTTTGTGACAGGAAAGTGTCTTACTTTTGTAAATATTTGATTACATGACGGGAATTTCACTTCAAGTCTAGATTTACAATTTTTTGTTTGTCGTAGTGTCGAATGCCCATCGCTGGAGACTACTTGTACAGTTGGTGGGTTGCATCTGATGGTAGAATTGCAAAAGCCTATATCTGTAGCTTCTATGAGAGATTCGATTGGAAGTCCTCCAGAGAGTGGAGCAACTATCAAGCTCAAAGCTTCCATTGAGATGCCCGGTAGTTACCGTCTGGTAATGCTCTGATATGTTTCTGAATTAATTCTGATATTGTTACCATTTTTTTAATTTTTAATCTCATTTCATCAGGTTAAGCATTCGAAGTTCTTAACCTCGGTCGAAGCCCAAGACTACTCCAGTGACTCCTCTCACGTTGAACCGAATCCCCGTATTGAGGTTCGTCGCCACATGCATGAAAGCGCCAAATTGGGCAATTTGGATAAAGCTCTAAGAGCTCTGGCTTTCTTGAAACCAAGTATTCTTGATTACAACGGAATGCTTCATTCTTATTTCAAATCCAGTAGCATTTCATTTGAGCGTGTGACTGGAATTTTTCAGAAATTGAAGAGGTTTGGGCCGTCTCCAAACTTTTGGACATTCAGTATAATGTCTAATGGGCTATGCTCATTAGGATTGCTTAAACATTCTTCTTGTGTGGTGGAAGATATGTGCAACCATGGGTTTGTTCCTTCCTTCTATTTGTTGATGAAATTGATGAAGAAATCTTTGAGCTCAGATAGATTTGAAATTTCTATTCGAGTTTTGGAATTGATGCTGAGATTTGATTATACACCAAGTTTGGTAGTGGTGAACAGATTGATTGCTAGACTTAGTAGAGGGAACAGAGTCCATGAGGCGTACCATGTTTTTTTGGTAATGCTTGAGATGGGTTTGGTTCCTGATGCGTATACTTGTAATTCACTGCTCTTTAGTGTTTGTAGGTCCAATTGGTGTTGGCAGACATTGCCTTTGTTTTATAGATTCAGGAAGAGTGGATTTGTTCCTACTGAGTATTCTTATACTTCATTGGTTATGGGGTTTGGAAAAAAAGGTTTGCGGAGAGAAATTGACCTGATTATGGAGGAGATGAGGAGGGATGGATGTTTTCCTACAGTTGTTACTTATACTGTGCTTATTAAGTGTCTTTGTAAGTATAAGTTAGTCGACGAGGCATTGAGAATCCTTATTAAGGATATGAGTAATGAAGGTTGTGAGCCAGATGTGGTTACATACAATGTACTTTTCGGTGCGCTTATTTCCCTTAATAGAGTCAAAGATTCAGACCGACTGTGTTTGGTGATGGAGGAGAATGGTATAATTGCTGATCAGTATACTTACTGTGCAATCGCTACTAGTCTGCTAAAAAATGAACATGTCAGCAAATCACTAGATCTTTTGTACCAAGCAGTGAGGGATAATGTTATGGATATTGTCACATGGAATATTATATTACGTGGTTTGTGTGTAGAAAACAGAGTGAGGGATGCAATAGCAACATTGAGTTGTATGATAAAAAGAGGTTTTGTTCCAAATAATGTGACATGCAATATTGTACTTAAAGGGATTTGCTTGGAGTGTATAGATAAGTCGTATATTTCCTAGATTATTTCAATTGGGGAATAGATGGACCTGACATTGTCTCTTTCAATACAATTCTATCAGTAGCATGCAAGCAGGTAAACGATTATATAATCCAGGCTGTTGTGGATCGTATGAAGTCTGTGGGAGTTGTGCGCGATGTTGTTAGCATGACCTGCTTACTTCAGTATTTTGGTAAGGCTGGAAAGTTGGAGAAATGTTTGAACTTATTCAATTATATGATTGACAATGGATATTGGCCTACAACTGTGACCTATAATGTGCTTCTGAACAATCTTTGCAAGAAAGGGCTGCTGTTAGATGCAGAAAGACTATTCAACAAGCACATCGGGACATTTCCTGATACAACCTCATACAATATTCTCATGCATGCTTATGTTAGAAAGGGGGATTTTCATGTAGTTCAATCCTTGCTGATTGATATGTATAACCGAGGCCTAGTGCCTAATGCCATCACATATTCATTTGAGTTACTTCATCTGCAAAGGGAGAAGTGTAGATGAGAATTTGCAGAACGGATTCTCATACTTTGCTTCCAAGGGACGTTAAGTCTATCAAAAAATTTGAGAATTTGCAAGCCTTGGTAAGTTTTAGTCTAGCTTTTGCAGAGTTTTATTTTATTTTTATCTTTCTGGAATGGCTTTGGATCCTATAAATAATGGTTTTCGTTATTCCTTTTGTATGTTGGGCTACAGACTAGGGCCATCCGCAATGCACGAGCGGAGTATTCTGTGGAGCCAGCAAAATGGATATCTGCATCTATTGTTGCAAGTACCGATGTCCTGTACTATATATCTGTAAGTCTTTCTCAGAAAATTCACTTGATCATGTAAACACTTTGGGTGTTTGGTTCTTCAGAACACGAGAATAATTGAAAGCTAGATATGAGGATCCTCGTTTTCTAAATAGTAAAAAAATATAGGTGTTAAGTTTCTACTCCACTATTTGTGCATTTTCGAACCATTTTCTCTCCTAATATAAATGCGCAAATAATCCTATCTCGAGTGTGTTGGATGTAAATTGAAATGAGCAAAATCCCCTTTATTGTTTACATCATTTTCATTCTTTCTTTATGATGGCAGTCTTATACTTGTCTTGGCCTTCTGGATAAATTTGCAACGCAAGCATGCATGGATATAGGCAACCAGGTATATGATAGCGCAGCTGCCTCTTGATATTTTAAGTTGGTCCATGATTTATGCTTTTAACCTCAAAAAATTGGTATTTGTTGTCGTTGAATTAGCTAGGGTAGCTACAGAAATACATAAGTTTCCCTTATAGTTTGTTTCATTAATTATGCATTGTTGTTTGCGTACTCCTTGTCTGTCTTATCATTATAAATTTGTTTTTGCATATGCATCATTTGAATTATGTCATTCACTTCATTATTTGCCCACTAATGGATTCAGGTCCTAAATGCTTCATTTTTCAGTATAAATAATAATTATTTCTATTTTTCTGTATTTCAGTTATTGGAAAGTAAAAAGATTTGAAAAAAATTATGCTTCTGCTTCTTTCTCTGAAATTACCATTTTGTCATCTGCCCCCTCCTGCCATATCCAGACTCTAAATTGATCATTGTTGACTGTTTTGGAAATACTAGAAGATATTGTTGCTCTCTTTGCGTATGTAAATTTGCTATGAAGAAATACCTCTCTCTTTATCCAGACTCTAAATTAATCATTGGTGATTGTTTGGAAATACTAGAAGAATATTTTTGCACTCTTTGTTTATGGAAATTTGGTATGAAGGAATACCTTCACAGTATGCAAGTGTTTATTGTTTAGCTATGAGCCTATGACTAATAAAGTATCCAGTGCCACCTGGGATTTGTATGCATGGTCTGTATTGAAAATTTACAATGCCTTTTCACTTATGCTTGCTTTCTGGGTGGTTGTAACTTCTATGTATTCTTACTGTTGACAGTGAAAAACAAGTCTTAGGTCTGCTGTCCAGACTAGATCTCCAAGATGTTCATTTCATTGAAACAATCCCAGGTATATTTATTTACATTTCTTCCTTTAACTGTCCAAGTTTGCTAGCTTTCAGCTTTAGAATATGTTTTGAAGCGTATATCAATCTTATTCTCCAGACTACGCAAAACAATCAGTCCATCTTGTGGCTGGAGAAGGTTTGGAAGCATATCTCCCTCTGGCAGATATGGTGGATGTATCAACCAAAGTTCAACGGCTCTCTAAACGCATTCTGAAGATGCAATCAGAATATGATGCTCTCATTGTTCGTCTCAGTTCTCCTAGTGTATGATATTTTTCCTATGCTTGCGTAAATGCAGTTATATTTTGGGTTAATTGCAGTTAGACCCCCTCAACTATCCCCTGGATGAAAATCTGGACCCCCTTGAAAAGGCTCAACAATTTCCACTCAGGAGGCCTCTCTGCAGCCATTGAACTGCAAGGGTAGTAAGTTCAATTTGGCGGTAGTACAAGTGGTCTATCCGCAATTAAACATTCTTTTACTGTTTTTCGTGAATTTGCTCAAAGTTGAGCTACAACATAGAGGCCGCACATGAACATCGCATGGTGCACATGCATGCACTGGCAACCGTGCGCAGGGGGGGGTGGTATGTCATTTACAAAAATGGATAATTCTGTAGTGAGTTACAATCTGAGTAGTTGGAAACAGATTAAGGAAATAGCTACATATAGTTAGAGAAATTCATTTCATAAAAGCTTACTATTCGAAGGTCAGATGTGCGCTACATGAAAAACATGCAAAATGAATTCTGAAATTTTAATTTTATATGATAACGGTAAAAGCAACTAGTATGGGATATCTTGTAATCTACCTGAATGTTCTTTTTGTTTGAGAGGGGTTTTTGCATATACATACCCCAAATTACTCTAGAAATACATCTTTTTTGATTTGTAAGTAGAGAATGCAGCTTAAATACATCATTATGAAAATATTGAAGCATCCAATTAATTATTGAGGAATTATAGCTAAAGGCTACTACATACCATACAAATCATGTTTTTGATGCCATCAACAATCATGCAACTATTTCAAAAATTGACAAATCATTGGGGTGGTTTGCAAATGTCATTTTCAAGAAAAATTAAATGTCATTTTCAAGATAAATGTTTTCGCTTGTTTGGAAGCTGCCTGCGTTAATTCTGACAGTACTTTTGGAGTGGGGAGTAATTTTTTCTTTTTTAAAAAAAGTCATTTCATAGATGATAATATTTGGTTGAGTTTTTCGATTTTGAGGCCCTATTCTCTCTTTCAAAAAATTCTTGATATTATTAAATGCGACTTTTGATATAATTGTTTTAGTATGTTTGAGACAAGGGCCAAAACTGCCCCTCAAACTTTCTGGCTAGTCCACTGTGTGCACGTGTGTGCAACTTTATTTGCTAGGATGTTACATAAATGGAAGTCGTAGATATATATTAGGATTCGTACGTTGGTGTCAACTAGACAAGGATGAACAACGTCACATGATTATCTTTCATGCTGCAGTTTGTAGAGAAGGCACCTGAAGAGGTGGTTCGTGGAGTTAGGGAAAAAGCAATCGAGGCAGAGGAGAAGTTGAAGCTGACAAAGAACCGCCTTTCCTTGCTTGAATCATCGGTTTCTGTACGGGGCTAAATGATTTTGTACTTCCTTTGAGTTTTTCATATGAGGCTTTCTTTTCCTCCCAATTTGGAGGTTAATTGCTGCCAATATCACCACGTTTGCTCCTCCGGCCATATTGATCAAAAATGCAACAGCCAAATGATTGCATTCAAGGAATTAGGTGTTCTTGAGCACAGACTATTCTTGAGCTATTTGCAGATTTGTTCATCTGCCTGTTTTTGTACTACGGGTGTACCTTGATAGAATTCATCTTTTGATTATTATTATGATACTGTCTTATACCAAATTCTTGTATACGAAACGAGCATGACATTTTTCCTCACTCGATAGAATTGAGGTGCTATTTTATTGTGCCGGTCTATGAAGCACGGACACACATAACATGAAGTCGTGTCGTGTCGTGTCCGTGTCGAACACACGTGTCGAACACACGTATCCTATGTATTTTTTAGGATTTGCCTCGTGTCGGTGTGTCGGATGGCCGTGTCGGATCTGTGTCCGTGCTACATAGGTGCCGGTCTTTCCTCTAAATCCTTTTGTTTTCTGATCATTTGCCATGACGTTGCCTTTGTGAGAGAGCGTGTTCGTTACTTGCTTTGAAGTGTGTAGTACGGAGGAATGATTGTCATTTTTCTAAAAAAATCACTGTTGCAATATTTTTTTTCTTTCTGCTGGGATGTCTGTTTTAAAGACGAAGCATAAATTGGTCGCTGTGAGGACGTCTTTTCTGTTCCTGGCGAATAGCGAGGCTATAAATTGTGTTTGTTTTATTGTTCGCGGAAAATTCCTAGAGGGCCCACTAAGGAAAATAATAATGGAAGGAGATCCCCCAAACAACTGTTACGTCATATATTCTGAACTTGGTGATATTGTATCTGATACAATATTTGGATCGTATGGATACGATACCCAAGATCGTACTGTATGCTTTTCTATAGAGGATTTTTTACCGAAGCTATTTTTGGGGGGTAAATGGGTAAATTCTCATTATACCACTGAAGTATAACTACAGAGCAGACGCTCAAACTATAAGCTGCACAGGATGAACAAAAGCTAGCAAAAACTATCCATGATATCTATATATATAATGATAAGGAATTTTCAGGGGCTGTTTGGTTGGTTTCTTGTTGTCAGTTTTGCCAGCTTTCTTGCCAAAACATCCTTTTTAGTGGCGTTTTGACAAGAAAGCTGCAAAAAAAGCTGTCAGCTTTGGCAGAATCAGGGGCAAAAGAAGCAAAACAAACAGCCCTTCACTCCCGCTCGAAGTTTTTTTTCACCGTCAGTGAGGTTTTTTTTTTTATAACTAAATTGTCGGATTAGCTTTTTTTCCTTTTTCGTAATGAAAAATCGAGATTAGATCTCCGATTGCTGCATGGGCAGTGAGCACTTTAGAGTTGCTGTCCTGGATTCTTAAGGAAACAAAGCTCCTATTTCACTATCATAATTAATAAGGACATATCAAGGAAGATGAGATATCATGAGCTTGGTCTTAATTTGTGTCGGATATTTTGTTTTCTCTAAAAATTCTTACAGATATCATATCCAGCAAGAAAATTGATGCAGCCTGCTGTTGCTGGGGACGAGTCTGCCGAGGAAGTTAGGTCGTCTTTGCGCGCGCTGGCTACAGTGGGAACCAATAAATAAATAAAAACCATTTATATGATTATCAACTTCATCCTGAACATTTTTGCACTTCTCTACAGTTGTCATTTTCTGGGATGTATAACTCGATAAACAATATCTCAAGCTTCTTTCTGAATTACTGTTTAATCTCTCTACTTTAGTGGGGCTATTAAAAAAATCTTAATTTTCCCACAGTGATTGAAATAGACAAGTGTGTGTATATCAATATAGGGGGAGAACTCTCTCTATAGAAAATCGCATAGAAAAGAAAGAGATCATGCAATGATACAAAGTACATGTACAACTAGAATATTTTATCAGAACAATAATGTATATTGTATCATTGCAATCAGATTATTGGTATTGCATCAATGTAATTACCAACTTTGAAAAATATATTGCCACACATTTCCCGGTTTGCATTTTGGCAAGAATATGAATGTGGAAATATGCTCTAAAGAAAACGGCAACAATGCTCTTACCTTTAAATTCCTTAAACACCCCATTTTAAGGCGAGCAAAAGTACTAAGCATAGAATATCCACGACAATGCCTGATAGCAAACAAACATAAATCTAAATTTGCATGTTATTCCTTTGAAAACATTACATAATACATGCATGTGAATCAATAGTTTAAAGGAGATGGTAATGATGGTTGCTGCTACTGTTTACTGTAAAATGACTTTTCCTCAGCATCTTCAAAAGGAATAAAGAAGTCCAATCATGCACTTAATATTGTATTCATCTTTTTTTTTTCTTTTTTGTGTGTGGGTGGGGGGGTGTTGTTTAGCTGAGAAGAAGCATCAACAACAAACACATCAAAGCTACTTTCTTCTTTATTGGAACAGAACCAAAAAAAAATGGAAGAAAGCATCTCATTTCCAACAATAGAATACAAAGGAAATCCCCTCCTCCATGCCAACGCATTAGATTAATCTTAGATTCTTCTCTCAATCATATGATAACAAGACATCAACTAGTACGGCTTCAACTAGAAAATAATAATAGTAATAACAACAACAAACACAAAGCTAAGGGCTATGACGAGCCCAACAAACATCAACAAAAATGAAAACAGAGCGATGAGAAGAACTATGATAAGGTTTGGGATTACTGCCAGTTCTTTCTTCTTCTCATCAATAGTAAGAAGCAGAAGCAGAGTCAGGCAGTTCTAGAGCACTACCATCATGCGCCTCTTTCTCGTAAACCCTCGATGGGATGCGAAACCCTGAGAAGTCAAGGGTGCCGGATCCAAAACTGATGTCCTGGATCGACGGCGATAGCAGATGAAACAGAGAATTACTGGACTGAAGGGGTTCCCTCTGAGTGTAGAACTGGCTTTGAGCATAGAACTGGCCACTGCCACAATCAGCACTATCTGCCATATTCCACGGCGTCACAGAATTTCCATCAAAACCCAGATGCCCAGAATTACTGAAGATACTAGGATTTGGGTCTTGAAGAGATTGGAGAGAGAGGTGGAGATCTTGAGCTTGGGGAGAATTATTGACTTCAACAACATGAGGTTGTTTTTGGGTATCTGTTGAAGTGTTGGGATGCCAAGGGGGGAGTTCAGCGAGCTGATCTATGGCAGCCTTGGCATTCTTGATGAGCCAGTCGACGGCCTTGCTTGGCCTGTCATACCCGAGACGATCTTGAACATCGTAGAACTGGATGGCAGTGTGAGCAGATAAGCGCACACGGCGATCTCTCAGGCCTTTTGCAGTGCAGACTTTGCTGTGCCGATCCTTTCGACCGGTGGCTCGCACAATGTGGCCGCCTTGGAAGGGCACGATCTGCCCGGAGATTCTTGATTGTTTCTTGGTTGGCGGTTGAGATTGCTGATTTTGCTGCTGATACTTCAAGTCATGGATGTGGTGTAGTAGAAAGCTCTGGATTTGGGCTTCTTCATCTTGATTTCTTCCTCCCTCGCCGTTTCTTGGAACGGGATGGAAGTGAGTCTTCCAGGGATCCAGACTCCTGAGCCTCTTCTTCTTCTCCTCTTCCAGCTTTGGATTTGGTGGAATTATCACTGAGGGGTTTTCTTTTGCATTCACAAGGCTTGGCCATAAAACTCCCTTAATCCTACTGTTCCATTACTAGAAGCCTAGCTACAACACAAGACCCATAATTAATTTGTGCTGGCAATGAGTAGGTATAGGATAACAGGGGATGAGAGAGGCTCAGGGCTATAGAGGAGCTGGATGATGTAGGTTGGTACTGATTGATAAGGGGACAGGGATTAAAGACTCATCATCAGGTAATAGCAAAGTGCATCAGATGAAAAAGAGAGAGAAAAGCACTTCCTCTATCTTTGATACCTCCTCTCTCCTCTCGAAATCTCTGTGTTTCTGAGCCAGGACGGTGACTGTATAAAGCTTTTGGCTTCACTCTCTCCTTTATTGCTGTGGCTTTGCTAAAAGTAGGATCACATTTCCCCCCTTGGGTTTTGCCAAATTACGCGCCTATCAAGTCCTTATCCTTCTCATTTACTCAAGACAGTTTTCAATTGAATAATGAGGCTCAGCTGACATATTTGTTTGGATTCAACCCAATAACAACAAACAAGACATACTTGGAATATGTGGCATAAATGCAAGAATCAGACCTTCAGCCGACAATCACATATGAACATTTGTCTTTGGGAAGGCTAAGATAGCTTGACCTTAAACTTATTTGGTGCTAATAATATAGCTCAGGTGGAACCCACACCGATATATGCATGCTTTATTCCCATGTGACATGTATTTGTATGTGATTTTTTTGGGTTTTCAACATATGATATTTACTGATCAAGAATCAAATTTCAACGAAAAAAACGGCTGTTTATTTGACATCATCTTCAAAACCTCATCATTTGGAAAGAAATTCTGATGATGGATTTTACTGATGTGGTAGCAAAATCCAACTACGTTTTCTAATTTTCTTTCAAAGGTCCCTTCCACTGTAGCAAGACTCCGAAGTTATGATGTGGGATGAGGGTTATAATTCTGTATTCTAACATACATCCGCAAGTTAAGAGGCTTTTTATGGACGAAATCTAGACTCAACGGTGTCTTTTTTAATTTGCTTTAGAAATTTTTGGCCATCAAGATTCGGACATATGTTGCTCTGCTAACATGTCAAAGGACCCAGCCACTATACAAAAACTCCAGAATTATGGTGGGGGCTGATGATTAAAATTTTACATAACACCTTCAAAACAAAAAAAAAAATATTTGACATATGAATTTGGTTCTCCTTAAAGTATTAGTTGGCCATTAGCATGTCAGAGCATTTTGAGCCCCCAAAACTTAGGATTTCAAATTGAATTGGCCTAAATATTAAAGACAACCAATTCGACCAACTTGTTGAGGTTAGATTAGATGGATCGAGATCTTCACCAAAGCTGTTAGAAGGTGAAAATTAATGGAGCATGGACCTACCAATTATTGCCAAAATAAAGTGCTAAAGACAACAGGGAGGATTATTGATCACATGGAAGAACAAGTCCAAATCCAAGGCTAATGCATGCGAGATACTTTAACTTTCCAAATGTGTCAGTAACCACTTGGAAGCTATAGTGGGGTCGCCGATAACGGCCTCAGTCTTCGTCAATCTCGAGGCAGTGACAGCAAAGATGCAGCTGGTGAGCTAGATAATTTGCTGAAGCTGTGGTCAGAGCTTCACAAAGTTTCTCTAGTGCCACCGGTACAGCTGACTGCTCAACTAGGTTTAGTGATTGATGGATCATGAACGGTATTTTATGAAGAAGTATGACAATTTACATGTGACATATCTCATATCAGCAATCATGGGGGAAAGGGGAAGTAGAATACAAACCGAGGACTCATCTGACTAGAATGAACTGGTAATCAACAAAATACATGTGCACACTTAATCCTGAAAAGATGAATGAAATTGGTGTGGCTTTTGCATTAACATGTCTTATTTCAGAAAATCATTTTCAGATAGCTGTGTAGAAAGGACATAAAGCAAGCCATTCTCGGTGCATTGGTGAAGATAAAAAATTATGACCAAAAGGGACACTAAGGTGCACTTCTATATAAAATGATCAAAAAACTTAGAATAAGGAAAAATGAAAAAAAGTTTTTCACATACACATACGCTAGAGCTATTAATTCATAAAGCTAGCATAACCTATGGATGTCATAGAATCATGTTCTTTGATTATTATAAATGGGTCATCTACAAATCGACATAGAGTAGTGCCATAACTCCCTTTCCAATTATGTCACAAGTTAAAATCTCTTCAGGTTCAATGAACTGGATTTTATCCCAATAAAATTTACTGCATATTTACTATGCAAAGATTGGTATTATAATTATAAAGACTAGTGTGAACACCATGCAAAGCACGACATATCTTTTTTTTCACTACAGTAATCCCGGTTTTAAATGCTACGCTATTTTTTAAACTTTTTTGAATTGCTACAATATCCCGCTCTGTTACAGTGATTTTAAAAAATGCTATCTTGTTCCTGTACGGCACAGTAATTTTTCAAAAAATGCTGCATACCAGTTTCCTGATTACTACAGTAATAGTACTACAGTAAATAATTCTGTATTGTTTACTGTAGCATGAATAGTGAATCTTAGGTTCTCCCATTTGTATAGAGTAATAGATGTATTGCTTATCTTATAGAATAAATGCAGTATATGTTCATATTTGTACTTTCTGAATCAATTAGAATTCACAGAATTAAGTTGAGGGTGAAGATGACAAGATGCATAATTTAGCTACAGGAACGAAAAGATTAAAGGGAAAAGAGACATAAAGAAAATTCCAAGAACATGACTGAACTTGCAGTTAAAAGCAAAAGGTTTCTGTATGTGGTGAGAACGAGAAGTCAGCTGGAAATCTAGCGTTGAAAACAATGGGTGTCTATTATGTGGTTTGGAGTTTTTGCAAGTGGGAGGCAATACAATGAAGCTGATGTGTTTGTTCAAAGGAGTGATATTGGTGGATCTTATGAGGAAAGAAAGCTGCTGCAGTGATTCCGAAGAAAGTGGAGAAGCATAGAGTAAAAAAGAGGACAGAATGAAAGAGGCCTTAGCTCCTTTTACGTAGTTGGCATGGACAAGGTGCTTATCTGAATGAAATGCTCAAATTTCTGGAGAAACACTAAAATGTAATTAAGAATAATCCATCATTCATAACAAAAATAAATTAACTAGTTTCTGCATAAATGTATTCATGAATTAGGCAGAACTATACCATATTATGTCACTGTCTGCAATGAATACTGGTGTCGAGTGCATTACTTGTTTAGTGGTGTAATTTCTTAAATGTATAATTTTAATTAAGGGAATCCTGGTTGAATTCTATCTTAGTTCAATATCTTTGTTTTCACCTTTTAAATAAACAATTACCATCCCACTTTGTTTTGGAGCTAGGTCTGGCAAAAAGACAAACTGGTGGAAATGACTGTCGAAAGAGAATGTGCCTGCCAAGAGTAAAGGGGCTTAAGCAGTGCAAAGTTTGGCTTGATGCCTTAGTTTTGTTATTAAGTTCCTGGGCAAGAAGTGAAATGGGTGCTTAAGCACTGAAAATAATGGTGGAGAATGACGAGCTTAAAATAAATAAATGAAAGTAATAAATAATATAAGGTAGTAAAGGATGGTCCTTTAGATTTTCTAAAAGTATAAAATTTTCAAACTTGTGAATGTTGGCTAAAAGGTAAGATGACTAAATTACCTTTTTCGGAAAAACGTGCTAGAGCTGAAGCTACTCTTGACATTATACATTCTGATGTGTGCAGTTCTATAAATGTTAAAACAAGAGGCAGATATTCATCATATTTTGTAATATTTACAGATGATGCATCTTGATGTGGCAAACGGATGTGAAGATAGCTTTCTTGAATGGATATCTTAAAGAAGATATTTACACGCAACAACCGGAATGTTATGTATGTAAAGGTCAAGAGAAAGTATGGTTTGCAAATTGAATTGGTCAGTTTATGAACTTAAACAAGCTTCAAGGTGTTGGAATATTCGTTTTGATGAAACGATTAAGGAATTTGATTTTATCCAAAATCCTGAAGAGTCTTGCGTGTATAAGAAACAACAAAATAATTCCACTGTGTTCCTTAATTCAGAAACTAGGAGAGCTTGTATAGATATTTGATCAAGTTACATTATCCTATCCAACATCAAGTCTACATCTTGGCAAAGGACATGGATGAAAACAAGACGAAGAGGGTTTAATGGTGAATGCAAGTGTCACACGCTCGCGCGCACACACTTAAGACTCTTTAGTGATTAGCACTTATTAGTTCACTCCTCCATGAAAACTCTTGGCCTGAGAAAGAGAGACAGACCCTATCACAGACTCATTGATTTGGAAATTAGGTTCAAATATTTAACTCACGTCTATATCTAATAATCATAGTTTGAAGTGTAAGTGTCGGCTTTTACGAAGCTCTCCTCCTCAAACTTTACATGTAAATCTCCTCTGAGCGTCTACTAAAGTTGTCAATTTTGGGGTAAGATGAATTCTTACTCTATTAGACATTTCAACATACAGCTAGTGGGCATCAACTCATTTTTCTTTTCTTATCTCGTCTACTTTCATCTACTGTAATTTTTTCCACTTAGTAAAGTGAGATCATTGGGACTGGGCTTAGATCAATCATTTCTATCCAACTTTTGTGGGTCATTCATATCAATAAAACATATGGACTATGATTTTATCAGCAAATACTCAACCAAGGAATTAATTTTCTTCATGTATATGCACAAAAATATATGTAAATGAGAGGGTAAATACATAAATGTACCTTGGAGAGGAAGATTATTGGCTGCCGTTGATGAGAGTGTGAGTTACAAACGCTGGTGATGTGGTCGATCAAACTCTTATCTTTCTCTGATGGGGAAAAAGAAAATTCTATTCTTGGCGCGAATTTGGAAAGGTTACTTTTTTTTTTCTCCCACCCCCTTCGAAATTTCCTCTTCGATCGAGTTCGCCGTTATGTGTAGTAATTGGGCCGGGTCTAGCTTGGTTAGAACTGGGCCTCTGATTTTTTGTAAACATTTTGGTTTTTTGGTCAGAGAGTTTTCGTAAAGTTATTGCTATGTGCGTGCTATTGAAATC